CTATTGAGTGTTCGGTGGAGTGACCCCTAACAAGAAGGGAATTGAATAAACACTGAAGCAGAAGTTACAGATCAAGGAGATAACAAACAATTTTATTTTTTTTTCCTCAAGATTTCCTGCAGCTTCATGGTAGAAACAAACCCAAACGCCCCAAGTTAATCAACCTCACAGACTCACAAAAGGAAATATATTTGTTATGTATTACTTCCCTGATCACGGCCAACACTGACTTTACATCATTATTTAACTGATTACCTAAGAGCACTATGAACGGGAAATACAGCTTTGGGTCACACACCCCTAGAAAAGTGGATAAAAAAAAATAATCTTAATTACTTACTCTTTCATTATAAGCCCTTCTTGATGAGTATCATGGTTTCTACATGAATGTTTTATTTTGGTTGTATCTACATGAATGTTTTATTTTGGTTTTCTAAAATATAAAGTGCTGTTATGCAGCCTGGAGAAGATTTGCATGTTCCCAAGGTGTTCTCCCATTCAAACATCACAAGATCGGCAGCTGACTTTTGTTAGCAGCTTTTGCCCATAACAAAAACAAAGCGTATAAGCCCAGTGAATATAACAGATTCTCTAATAACAACAAGTGTTTTTATTGCCATTGCACTCACGGAAGTCTCAAACCAGAAAGGGTGGTAGGGAGACCAGGTATAAACTATATGTTATAAAAATGGAGGGAAATGACTTGCTCTACACCACAAGATTAGAAGGAGTAACTCTTTGAATAGAACCGAGGTCACCATCTGAAGCGCTAGGGCTTGGACAATAGGCCCAAGCCAGAGTTGACCTATAGATGAATCCTGTATATTTTATAACTAATAATCATTGTGCTAATAGCTATTATACTAAGTTATAACAAACCACCTGTTCTGATGTAAAAGGTGGAAGTATTGAAGCCTGAGCAACAGGCCCCGAGTCGAAGCTGCTAACTTAGTATTTAGTCACTGACAAAATATGTATGCTCATTTATGAAAGATGTAGGTTAGATATCATATACTTATTATGGGTGATGGATGTAATGAAAACATTTCTATTCTGAATGTACCTTTCTTCTTCTCTGTGTAGGGGTGAGTTAACAAAGCCGTGAAGCTAGCTGTCTGGCCTTGGGACAGACGTATGGCCTTGTTTTAAAAGGAACATAAATAAATTAGATAAGGAGGGAAACTCCCTTAGCTTCTCCCTTAAGCCCTGGCCAGGCTCTGGGGGGAATCTAATGAGAGAGTGAAACCAGATGTTCCGCTCAAAACCAAAGGTGCCAGCTATTCTGGCTTGCTGATTTTTAGTATATAATGCTGGACCCGCTCGCAGCAACTTTGGCAGCCTCACCTATGGGTGGACGCACTGCGTAGGATTTCCCACTTGCCGCGACAGGCTCTCCAACCCCTCGCTGTAACCGGGGCTGCCCAGCCACTGCGGGTCTGGGGGATGGTAACGTATGCAAGTGGTGATGGATCTTTCTTAATCACTATTCTCTCTCTCAGGTAGTAATGATTTGATGCATTACCCTGTATTTTCCTATTTGTTTAAGCACGCTGTTCCGTCTTTTCTTACTGTATATTTTCTGTATTATTCTGTTATATTATTTAGTTATTTTAAGTAAAATATGCCTGCTCTTTTCACTCTGGTGTCTGAGTTTAATTGCTATCCCTAATCAGCAAAACAGCATCATAAAAGAAACTGAACAAATAGGCTCAGATAGGCCATGCTGCCTGTGCCAACAAAAGCGATGTTTTGTAACTCCTCTATCTGATTCAGGGCTTGAGAATACAATGCAGAGTGATAAAATAATACGGTTGCTTTCATTAGGAAGAAACTGGACTGGATGGCTCAAAATACCCTTTCCAAGCCTAACAACGTAAATGGATACGTGAAGTAACGTGCAAATGTTGTACTCCAGTATTAAAAATGCAGATTTGTAACACAATCAAACTGAGTATTACTGCAGCACTGCTTGGCCTAGATCAGCTCGGCAGCAGACTGACCCTTTGATGTTGTTTCCCAACCTCATGCTGCACCGGAAAGGGGCAGCGAGGGCAACTCCTTGCTAACGGTGCCAAGGGTAAAATCTAGTCCTGCAACCGCCCTTCCTGAATCCATGCAGGTGAATTTGGTGCATATGGACAACCTATTCCTCTGCCAGGCAGCTTGTACCACAAAAGAAATCAAAGACATGTTTTGTTTAAAGAAGTCGGTCATCTCTTGGATCACACGATGAAGACTAGGTCACTTTTTCAGGCTTATTACTCAAAAACCCTGACATCCTTTTCACACACACACATACCATAAATCTCAGGTGGTAAGCCTGAGGTTATCTATATTCACTTACAATTCTGCTTTCTGCTTGTTGCAATTTACAGCAAACAACTATTTAATTTGTGCTTGTATCTTGATATAAATCAGTAAAAATTGATGCATTTGGCAGAAGAGGACAAAAGAATTACTCTCACTGATCAGCCATCACGCATCTTGCACTGTTTTGGAGATTTTTGTGCAGTCATAATAGGAAGTAGTAGATAGATGGCTAGAACATTCAGTTTATCCCTTCTCGATCACATCTAACTGTCATCTACAGAGGTATTTATGAATGTATTGTTCAGTTTAGACCTTGTACCTGACGATTAAAGTTTAAGAACTATAGTTAGACCTGGATGACTTAGAAATAATATAACTTAGTTGTGGTGCTATTACCACTAATGCAGTCCTTTTATTAAGAACATACAGAGGTATGTAACAAGAGGTCGGTTTTGGTGGGATGTAAGCAACATGAAGATTGGGGCAGAATCTGTGCAGTCTTGTTTTCATGAGCATTAGTTAAACTTTAAGATTTTTTTTTAAAAGCACTGCCTCATTTCAGAGGTACTGCAAACATGACTGGTGCTTTCCAACATTATCCAAATAAGTAATCAAGTAATGACAAACTCTTTGCATTTTTGTAAAATATAACCGGAGTAAGACACTATTGGCTTGAAACACCAATTTCAAACCATCTGTAGTGTATCAGCCTATTAAAGCCACTACTAATCTTTACAATCATGTGCTTTTGTGGTTAAAAATATTTTCCTTGGTCAAGTCTAAAAAAAAAAAAGCCCATTCCTTCAATGAGCATGCACTGCTGGTATTTACGTGCCCCAGGACTTCTGTTACTGCAGGACCTGACTGGCATCAATCGAGGCGACAGTGTTTTTCCAGAAAAAAATCCAGTTGAGTGTTAACGTCCCAAGTATGTGTTGGGTGTTAAAAGTCCAGGGCAGGGGGGCCTGAGAAAGGATATAGTGACACAGTTAAAGGATGTAATTAAAGGGCAAATGATGTGATTATGGGCAAAGCGACACAGACACCTTGATGGTTCCTACTTTTTTTAGTGATACTCCAGCAACTTTCCTTTAAAGCAGGGCTTAGCAGGTTGCCTTTGAACGCGCAGTGCCCAGTGAGCACGCAGTGTGTGAGAGTATCACATGGAGCTGGAAATATGTCTCTTGTGGGTTATCGATGGTGCCGAGCGGTGGCTCTTTCCTGAGGAGGTTTGCCGCCTACGGCGCCCGCTCCCCCCCGACACACACGGAGCCCGCCAAGGCCGAACGGGCAGCACTGCCCCACAGAGAGCTGTGCTTGACAAGGCCCAGTCTTACCGTGTTTCGGGCATTTAGTTTGACGAAGTAACTCATCGTCGGGCAACAGCCCCAGGCGCGGCCCAGCCAGCGCTCCGCTCCTGCCAAACCTCCTTCTCGCTTCGCTGGGGGCGGCGGGGCCTACCGGAGGAGCGGGGCGCCATGGCACGCCCCGGCCTTTCCCCTGGGCGGGGAGGGGAGGGCATGGAGATGAGGGGATAGTGATGGTGATGGTGATGGGGGGGTGGCTGCCATCCCCGCGGAGGGCCGGGGCCGCCT